TGTACACTGAGTTACATGTGGCCCCTCACCTGAAGGTTGAGCAAGCGAAACACCATCTGCTTAAACTCCCGCTTCGACAACAGCTTGTGTGTCGTCTTCCTTCCTATCTCCATCCTTTCTCTGTGTGCAGGTGCAAGTGTTTGCAATCACTCTTACTCCGGCATGGTGGAGACCTCTTTAAGACGAACACTTAAGTGGGACACAAAGAAGACTTGAGGGCGTGCACTTGACATGGTTTTGACCTGCTCCCGTCCCTGACGTAGGCAATGCACATTGAGTTGGTCACTGTCAGAGTCCAGGTTCAGCCCTGTTGGGTCTCCTATCTGAAGAAAATTCTGGACACAGATGACCCGGGCCACTGCCTGGGAACTCTCAGACACAGCCGCCGCTGGATCTGCCCCAGGGAGAGCGGGTGAGTTGCAAGCTCCTGCCTCCATCGCCCTGAGTCCAGAGCCCGTGCCCTGTCGCTGGCGGATCTCCCCCTCCTTCCTCCCCAGGGAAGGGTACAGACTCACCTGGGAGGGTACGGCCACCCGACAGCACGTCCCCGCAGCCCACTCAGGCTGTGAACTTGACTGCTTCGCGTGGAGCTCACTGAGTTTCTGCTGAGTCCAGAGGCACTGCAGGCTCTGCCCTGCCTGCATCCCACGCGCTGCCTGTCTGGGCCCAGCAGCCAGTGCGCGACAGTGGACACCCGTTTCAGGATTTTAGCTTGGGAAGGAGGAAGCAAGAATGAGCCTCAGTGCCTCACCTACGTGTGTCGGGAGGCAGAGGAATGCAGAGCTGTCTGATGCCTAAGCCAATGCTGATTCAATGTGCAAACAGCCACACATGTGGGGTTTGAAAGAAAGACACGGTGCTGATAAGAAAATGAGCTCAATGTTGATGCAGACTGAGCCGCTCCTCCGACGCGAGCACCGGAAGCCAGCTTTCACGCAGTGGGAACGTGAGCGGATGTGCCCGTTCAGGGGGTTGTGCCAGGGTATTTGAAAACTGACGCTTTCCAGCACCGCTACTCTGTAAGTGCTCCTAGTAACTAAGTCTGTGATTCCGCGGTGGTTAGGGGACGGTGCTGTGCCCGCACGCTAGTTCCACTGTGTTAAGGGATGTTACAGGAATCTTCCGCAGACGTCAGTCTTTACAGTGCCAACGGTGGCTAGAGGGGGAATCTAACTCACGGTGATGCTTAACTAGATCTGGCTCTCTTACATCTCATTGACGTTCACAGAGAATACGCGTGAACCGTGGGACAAGCCACAGACAAGCCAGCCAGCCATCACAAGGGACCACAGAGGCCACACATGAGGGGCACCCGGTTACTCAACACAGACCATGCCAAGACACACGAGCCGTGCACGTAAAGACGTTTATTGGTTTTAAAGTCTTGCTTTCCAGAATGATTGCTCCCCGTGAGGGCAGCGCCTCCAGGTGACAGGACACATGCATTCACCACGTTCCGACGGCAAACATTTCCTACCCGTTAAGTTTACGGCACATGCATTTTCTCTCTCCTTTTGAGGATCACAGAACAGGACAGCTTTGGGAAGAGAACACACCAAAGTCTCCACGCGAATTGTGGTGATGGTTCGCAAGTTTACAGTAACCCCACGCAGCAGCACATCCTACCATCGTCATCACGGCAAACACGGTCACGAAGCCAGATCACGCTTGGAGAAGGCAAGCGGCAGTGAGGCCAAGCAGCTGGGTTGTGGCAGCTCCTATCTCAGCCCCGTTGATATCATGACCAGGGATTGCCCACGATCTAGAGGTACAAGATGACTCCGTGGCTGCAAGTTAGGCAGCACATGGAGCTGTTCCCTCGTGGCACACTGCCCTAGCAACCCAAGACTGGCCCGTGCCCCTCCTCTCACTCCATGCTGCTACTTGTCAAAGTCCAGCGCAATCCTGAAATAAAATCTCACTTCCCTTTGGACCTGCACTGGGCTTCGGTGATTTCTGTTTGGCCAGCACACCTTGCCCCTGTGTTTCTTCTGGAACCACGCTGACATTACCGACGGCCTTCCTGAATGTCAACAGTGCTTGTTTGGCCTTTCCAGTTGGTTGGCCACATTCTGTGGGTCAGGTGAACCCTGGGGTTGAGGGATACGCAATACTACGTGAACTGGAGGCTGCACAAAATGAGAGATACAGGGGAGCGTAGCATGCAGCTCCATGCTGTTCCAACGCCTCTGGAGAGAAATGTAGAGAGTGCTGACCGTGATCACACAGGCCGAGGCCAAGGCGTCCACAGCAATGTGAATAAGCCTCTGCCCTTGGCACCGCCTTGATTTTGGCACAAAGTGGGTGACCCTGGGTGTCTCCCAGGCACCTTGGAAGACCCTTGGCTGTTGGGACTCCCCGGGGAGGTGAGAAGTGTGTGCTAGGGTAGGGTCCTGCGCCTTGTCTAATGTCCTCGAGAGAAGCACCAGGAAGGGTCAGTGGCCTCGGCTCCCCCGCCCCAGCTGACCCTGGACAAGCTGCACAGACTCCTTCGCTCCAGTAGGTATGAAGTCAGGCCAAGGGGCCCCCTAGACGTGACGGCGCCACCCTCAGACAGACAGGAAGCCAGTTCTGCTTCTCAAGGGAGTGAATCCTTAACATTTCTGTGTTGTAAAAGGGTTAAGTTAAAATGCTGAGACATAATGCCTATGCGTGGGGTGAGACCCACACGCCACTCCAGGCCGTGGGGCTAGGCTGCGTCCTGCCTTCTGACATCAGCCCTAGGGACGGGGCCAGCTCTCCCCTTCTGGGCCCTCCGTGGGGTGTCCTCTGCCTCTTTCATTTCTGCACTTGCCTTTCTTCTCCCTGTGCCCAGCCATAGCTCAAGCCTCATTTACTCTATGGCTCCTTCCCGGTCTGGACTTGCACCGTGTCTGACTTCTGCAGTGCAGCCTGGCACGTGTCTCACTCGCTGCAGGTTCATCTCTGAGTTCCTCCCCTGGGAAGGGAACATCGGCACTCCTGGCATCCAAGAGAAAGACGCTGAGTGGGTGCACAGATGGCCCAGGAGTGCAGTTAGTGGACTTCGTGCAGGGGACTGGGAACAGAAACTAAGGGTATGGCTGCAAGTAAGGTACTTGCATTTAAGCATGGAATTCTGAGCCAGCGTCCGCGTGGGTTCTGACGCCTGTGGTTGCGTGTAATTTCCTGACGTGTCAGGTTCATACAGCCGTCCTGGCTCCCAGAGTGCTTTCCCTCCATCATTCAGGTCCATTTTCACAGCTACGCAGCGAGAGGGAGCTGAGCTCTGGAGCTGAAGCCATCGCCGGATCACCCAGCCTATGTGGACTTCTGCATTTCAATCCTGTGTCTTTTTTCATTCACCCACACGTTTTCATCTCAAACCATGAGGCCAAAGGTCAAATTTGATTGATGGAATGAACTTTGGAGCTGAAAAATTTAGTCCTAAACCCTGGTTTTTCTGAGTAATGAATCTGAGAGCTGTGGTTCTTCACTGGGGGTAGTGTGTGTGTGTGTGTGTGTGTGTGAGGGTGCACGTGCATACATGACAGGAAACGGGCTGATAATTTTGTTGCTCATGTGGGACTTCCTACAACTAAGTAATTTCCAACCTCCTAGCAAGACGGCTGTTAAGCCACGTGCAGATCTCACCCACAGGCTTGGCAAGCCCGCAGTGCCCAGGGAGAAGTGGACACTCAGGCCGCGAGAACTACTGGGGGAAAGGATTTTGCATGGAGAAGTGCAAGGAGCTTCCATTTTTCTATTGCTTTGGCGCTGCAGCCTCTGGCTTGATGTAAGTTCCCACTGACAAGTGGGGTGGAGCCTGGAGCGCTCCCTGCCCAATCACGTGTCCCTTTGCTGTCTGTCTGAATGGGGCCCCCGGCTCCAGCCTCCTAGCACTGGGCTCCACAGGCAGGTGTCTGCTTCAGAGGGGGGGAATGAGGCTTGCAGTGGCCTTGGAGGCAGAGAATTCTTGCCTGTGAATGAGTCAAGTAGCGGTCATAATCTAAACGATTTCCCTCTGCTTGTACATTTTAAATTCTTAGCAATCTAAGTGAAAACAATGGCATTTCTTGGACTAGAGAGTCAGTTTCTTCTACAAACCGGATGGAAATGCCACGCAAGAAGTATCCACGTGTGGGCATACACAGGGTGCAGTGGCGCTGAGTCTCCCCACCTGGCTGCTGGCCGTGACCTGCCCCCCCCCCCGGGGTGGTTACAGCTCTGCCACCCGCATCTTCTGGCACAGCTGTCCCCGAGGCAGCTGTGGACACGCTTGCTAATCGGCCACTAAACAACCCATGAGTGGATCAGCTTAATTTATTTCCTAGAAAAAGACATTGCCGTAGCTTCTGCATTAGAACAGGAAAGATCTGGAAGGCGGCCACCTCAGGTGCTCCCCCCGCGAAGGTCTTTCTGCCCCAGCCACTGGACAGCCACAGTGACATTCCAGCACAGCCAAAGCCCAGGGTCTGCAGCCCAGGAGCGACACGCTGGGCTTCAGGGATGCAGACTCCGCCTCGGATGACCACCCGGTGGGTGAGAGCTGGGAGCTCACTCTACTCCACCATCATGCCACGCGGGACCCCAGCGGTCTCACTACCTGGGCGTTCTGGCCAAGTGGAGCTGCACTGTGTGTTGGGGACAAAGGGCAAGCGGCAAAAAAGGAAAGCGACACAGAAGGGAGGAGCTGATCCCTGTCCTTTGAGGTCTCTGCAAACCCCTGGACAAGGCACAGGCCACTGGGAAGCCGCAGACCGAGAACCACCTGTAGTCGGCTGGACGCTCGCTCTGGTTTCATAGAGGCAAACACAGCTGGTCTCCTGAGCGCTGCCGAATACCTCCAACTCCCCCTCCTGGCTGCTTCCGGACCGTCCTCACCTACGGGGTACTGCGAGGGCACAGGGTCCTAAGACCCTCTCCTGCACCCGGCTGTCGGACGCTGCCCCTGTGTCCTGTTGGGAACTCAAGTTTCACATACAGGCGCGATACTCTGAGTGGAAGATGGCCCGCAGTGACTGGATTCTTGAGGCAGCGTATCAAGTAATGCATGATTTTATTTAAAATGTGTCCAATCAGGGTTCTCACTGGCAATGACATTTGACCTCTTTCCGCATCATGTTATAAACCGTATGTCCTCATCGCACGGAGTTTCTCAGAAAGTTCCAAGCAACTTAACAGAAGAGACAAACGAAATCGTTGGGGGAGATTAAATAACAGGAAGTGGACATCACAGCACGGGGCTCACGCGACTCGGCCTCGGGACACACAGGGACTTCCGGGCGGAGCAATGGCCCCGGTCATGCAAATCCTCGGAGGATCACGCGCTGTACTTTGGCAGCTCGGGCATTCCCTGTCGCTAGCACTCGGGGACAGGCTGAGGCAGAGGACCCTGCAGGGAATGGGAGGTGGTCTTTGACTTCCAGCGGTGGGGAGAAGACACGAACACAAACGCGCTGTCCTTGGAAAAGCTTGCTCGCACCTGGCTGTCCGCGGCTCTGAGCCCCGGGGCGTGCACCTGGCGTCTGCACCCTTGCCTGCCCGGGAGGCCACAGCAGCCCTGCCTTGTGTCCAGTGGCACTGGCTCCCCTGGGGACAGCAGCACACCACAAAATCAGCACATGGAGCACGGGTTGTAGAACCCGGCGGTGTTAAATCTGTGTTTTCATGAGCCGAAAGTCAGAGCATGAATGAAGTCCCTATGGACCACGCGCCACGGAAAGACACGATGTCGAGTTACGGTGACCTGCCGGGAAGAGAAAGAGAGAAAGGCGCAGCGAGCGGCCGCCGCTGGCTCCTGGGAGTGTTGTCATGGAGAGAAGCGAGGGCAATGGGACCGGGCTGGCGGACGGGCGTGCAGGCCGGGAAGCGTCACCACCGCAACTCTGGTTCTGAAGCGACTTGGGGATGCTCACTGGCTCCTAACCGGAGCAGAAGCCCGGCAGCGGCGGCTGCCTCTCTCTCTCTCTGTCAACACGTCTGTCCCTAAATAACTGAAACAGCTCCTTCGCATTCCGGATGCAGTCCTGGCTGGAGTAAAAAAGGATGGAGGATGCGCAGCGTGGAGGAGGAGGTGCCAGGGAGCGGAGGGCGGGCGGCCCCGGCGCGCGGGCAGGGCGCCGGCGTCAGCCGTCGGACACGGGCGGGGTGACCCAGCCGTACTTCTCGTGTGTCTTCACCAGGCTCTTGAAGGTGGCTTCGGCTTCCTTGCGGCTGAAGGACTTTTTGGATTTGCCGGCTTTCCTGCAGATCCGTCCCTGCGGGAGAGGAAAAGCAAAGCCAGGTGAGCTCTTGGCTGGCGCCCCTGTTTGTCCCCGCGTGCCAGGGCCAGCCGGGGTGCGTATCCTTGCACAGCTGACCCGAGCAGAAGTGAGGCAGGAGCCAGGGGCTGGAAAACCTGCCGAGAGTGAGGCAGGGCGCTGGGGTCAAGGTTCGGGGCGGCTCCCTTCCCAGCCCCCAGCACCAGCTGGGTACAGGTGTGGAGAGTCAGCCCTTGCCCGCGCACCCAAGACCCGCGGAAGGGCCAGCTTGTCTGATGCATTCGGTGGATCCAACTCCTTCCCTCCCACAGAAGATGCCTGTGAGTGTAACAACTCCTGTCTGAGAACAGTGGACAGACACGAGGACGCTGACACAGGGATCTGTGCGCGCGCACACACTTAACTCTCCGTGGATTCCGGGGACCTGTGTCACTGCACGGCCATCTCAAGATGACGCAGGCGTCTCCACAGAGGAGGGCTGTCCTGGCATCCTGAGGGAGGGGCCGGGGTCAGGGCTGGGGCATGGTTGCACCATCTCAGGGGGAGAGGGCCAGGACCCGGGGCTGCCCCCTCGCAGTGACCACCTGGGCTGTGGGCTGGCCTGAGGGACGGAGGACAGGAAGAATGGCCCACCTTCAGAGGGCAAGTGGAGGTTCTAGCCCAAGGCAGGGGAACGGAGGCCCGGTCCCATCACAGGCCCACAGGTCTGTGCCCCAAGGCGACCACAGGCAGGACTGGAGAGTCCACCGCCAGCCGGCTAATTTTTCAGTTGATAGTTCTGCAGGGCCTGCGAAGGAGCTTAGGAACATGCAAAGGCCCTTGGCAGAAGAAAGGGTCCCCACCCCTTCGAGACCATGAGAAAGGAGGAGGCAGGTGTCACTGCTGGCCTGACGGTGACCTGGAGGCCCTGGGCAACGCGGTTCATTTGGCATCAGAGGGTCCCGGCAGGTGGATGGCCGTCACGGGCTGCGAGGCTGGGCCTCGGCTGCGTCAGCTTTTAGTCTCACTAGTCCCGCCTCTAAGGCTCTCCTTCCTGAAGCTTCTCTCCAGAGGTCCCCTGCGGGGCGCCCTGGTCCTGTGGGCAGTCACTCACGCGTCACCGCCTGCAGACTCTCCAGCAATGCCCACTTGTCTTCCTGAGCACTCCCTGAGTGTTGTGTGGAGGGGGCAGAAGCACCCCAAAGACCCGGCTGAGTTTTACCTATTGGCAGGTGCACACGCTACAACCGCCTCTCTCCTGCGGCCACGGCTCCTGACAGTTGATTCGCTCTGAACAGGCCTGCTCCACTCCCGACTGTGCTGTTTTTGCCATAGCTCAACTGTGAGTTGACCTGGGAGCAGGCCTCCCGCCCAGTGCTCTCGCACACCACACCACAGCCTCTCTCTTGGGCCAGCAGGGAGGGCAGAAGCTGCCCAGGTCTCTGTGGCCATAGCTGGGCAAGGTTCCCCCATCTCAGCACTCTCTGATAACCCCTGTTAACTCCAGTGGGAAGACAGCTGCACTGGCTGCATGCCCACTGGGCAGGTGGCACCCAACCCACAGAACCTGGGGCTGGGGACCATTTTGCACCTTTAAATTCAGAATTTAACAGATCATTCCCTCATTGCGGGGGGGTCAGAAATCCAGGGTGATGGGGCCCTGCCTCCTCCAGACCCTCTGTGGCTTAGCTTTCCCACGTGCAATCAAGGGCAGTGATGCCCGCTGGGCTCGCGTCAGATGGGCTGCAGTGGCTCAAAGACGACTGGCAGAGAGGACTGAAAGAACCATTTACTGACTTCTAGAAACTTCCCCATGCCTCACCAGGACACGACTCCTGCTTCCAATTTTTAACCTCGTACTGGGCTTATGTGGTGTCGAAGGGATACTCAAGAGCCGATACATTTATCCACATCGTCACCATGGGTTGAGACCAAAGGCCAAAGTCATTCCCTTAAACAAATGCATCTTTGCAGAGATGTGGGCATCAGTCTATGCAGGTGCCAAGGGCTGCAGCTTTTGGAAGAGATGCATGCTTAACCATCTCCATCATTCTTCCAACACTGAAGATTCATGGTCTGAGTTGGGAATTCTAAACTAGAAGTAGCTAGGCAAATACTGGCTCATAATAACCTTGGACAATCTATCGCTTCTGGTGTGGACATGCACTTGGCCATTCTTTTTAAAAGTCTCTATTGCTGCAAGAAACAACCAACACAGCCCAAGGGAACAGGCCCTCTTCTGTGGCCTGTTCTTCCCTGAGAGGGCTACGAAGCCCAGGCCTCGGTCCGCTCAGCAGCCGGAGGGCCAGTGCTCCTGTGTGTAACTCTCCACGTCGGGCTGCAGTCTCGTGTGCCGTGTCTTACACCCACAAGGACAGACCTCCGTCCTCTCAGTCGGCTGTGGAAATACTGCCCAGTGAAAGGCTGGGCTTGAAAGCCACCACGGGCACTGCGGTCGCTGCTGCGTCACCAAGCTGCTTCTGCCGCTGTGTCCTAGAAGGGGGCATCCCACCTCCTGCTGACCAGCCTCATGCACCTGATGACAGGGAAGTGTGGGCAGTCACAGAGGCTGTTCCGGGCCCCCGTCTTGGGATGGGACAGATGCTCCCATCAGACCTCACAGGGAGCTCTGTGGCAACAGCCCTATGTCACCAGTAAGGAAACAGGGGCAAGAAGAGGTGACGAGGTGCTGCCACCACCCAGGTGGGCAGTGGCTGCAGGCCCGGATGCCCGTGCAGAAGTCCCTGGCTTTGGAGGTCATGCTGTGGACCCCACAGACACGGACAGGGCACAGGTTGACCAGGAGGCAAGTGCACTGTTGAGATGGTGGCCGCTCTGGCTCTGCCAACCCTGGATGCACGACCGTCCTCAGCACTGGACCCTGGCTGTCCCCTCTCCAATGCTGGGAGCATACGCCTGCCTCCCAGTGGATACCATAGTCCTGTCAACCCTGAGCCTGGCCAGGCCCTGCCCCTGCCCTTGCCCTCATGGCCCGGCACCCGAGCTCCCTCAGGAGATGCACAGGTGTGCCTGCCCCGGGCAGGGGGGGGGGGGCTTTCCTTGCGCATTCCCTGCTCCAAGAGAACAGGCAACTCTGTGCCTCTCATGTCCGCGAGATGTAGACCGAAAAGGAAGCAGCTTCTCCGGGTCAAGCCAAGGATGCTGTGCTCCAGTTTCAAGGCTGCAGCCCTGAATTAGCACACAGGAGCCATACCTGCGGGTGGCGGGGCTTTGGTCGAGTGAATGGATGCGTGGATGAGGGAACGAGTGAATGGCATTGGCAGATCCAAGCCCCTTCCGCTTCCCCAGAACCGCAGCCCGGCTTTTTTTTTTTTTCTTTTTCTTTCTTTTGTTTGACAGGCAGAGTGGACAGAGAGAGAGAGACAGAGAGAAAGGTCTTCCTTCTGTTGGTTCACCCCCCCACAATGGCCGCTGTGGCCGGCGCACCGTGCTGATCCATAGCCAGGAGCCAGGTGCTTCTCCTGGTCTCCCATGGGGTGCAAGCACCTGGGCCCAAGCACCTGGGCCATCCTCCACTGCACTCCCGGGCCACAGCAGAGAGCTGGCCTGGAAGAGGGGCAACCGGGACAGAATCCGGCGCCCCGACCGGGACTAGAACCCGGTGTGCAGGCGCCGCAGCCAGAGGATTAGCCTATTGAGCCGCGGCGCCGGCCAACAGCCCGGCTTTTGTGGGACGCTCTCATGTCTGCATTATTCTGTCCACCTGCAGGCTCCCCGTCGGCGAACACATTACATGCTGCAGACAGCGCGGCCTCTTCTGTGGCCCTGGCTCCATTTAGGTTTGGGTTCACAGAATTTGCATCTGCAACCCCAAACGGAAGATGACCCTCTTTGCTCCTAACTTAGAAGGGATTTGCAAGAAATGATGATGTTTTCCTGCCGAACCTGACCGTGGCTCAGGATCCAGCCCCACCTTCTTCCTTACACACCTGATCTTCCTCAGGGCACCATGCTTCACCTTCTAGGAACTTGTCTCTCTTTAAAAAAGAGCTATTTATTTGAAAGGCAGAATGGCAGAAAGAAAGGGAGAGGGAGAGAGAGAATCTTCATTTGCTGGCTCACTCTCCAAGTGGCCACAACAGCCAAGGCTGGGACAGGCTGCCAGGAGTCAGGAACTCTGTTCAGGTCTCCCACACGGGGGGCAAGGGCCCAGGTTCTTGGGCCATCGTCTGCTGCTTCCCAGGCACATCAGCGGGGAGCTGGATCAGAAGTGGAGCAGCCAGGACTCGAACTTGTGCTCCAAAAGGGGGTGCCAGGATTGCAGGCAGCAGCTCAACCTGCTGTGCCACAACGCTGGCCCCTCGGAACACTTTTTTTTTTTTTTGACAGGCAGAGTTAGACAGTGAGAGAGAGAGTCAGAGAGAAAGGTCTTCCTTCCATTGGTTCACCCTCCAAATGGCCGCTACGGCTGGCACGCTATGGCCAGCGCTGCGCCAATCCGAAGCCAGGAGCCAGGTGCTTCTTCCTGGTCTCCCATGTGGGTGCAGGGCCCAAGTACTTGGGCCATCCTCACTGCCTTCCCGGGCCACAGCAGAGAGCTGGCCTGGAAGAGGAGCAACCGGGACTAGAACCTGGGGTGCCGGCGCCGCAGGCGGAGGATTAGCTTAGTGAGCCGCGGTGCCGGCCTGTCAGAACACTTTTTGCAAAGGAAGAGAATCAAGGTTCTCCCCCAGTGCCCCAGGAGCTGCTGGCCCACTCATCTTGCCACTTAATTCCCACTGCTGCTCACCTGCCCTGGGGTGTGATTCCTCTCATGCTAACCTGTGGCCGTCCACCTGCTGCACCCTACGACGCACACAGCTGCGTCCACTGGGCAGCCTTGATTGGCGGATGAGGCCTGGGGTCCCCTGCCCCCTTGATGCTGCACCTGACCATGATAAAAGGGCTGCAGCCAAGGGGTAGCTCTGGGGAAGAGGGCAAGCCTCGCTCGCTCCGGGAGTGGACAAAGGCCCTGCACGGCCGGGGAGCAGCGGCTGAGATGATGGTGCCTGGAGATG